CTGGTGTGGGAGAAGAGTAGTTTAGTGTGAACACCCTGGACGTGAAAGTCCATTAGATGTCTGTGTGGCGATATAGACAGTTGGATCTGTGAATCTGGAGCATGGGAGAGATGTCTGGCAGTCTTCCAGATTACACAGAAGAGCTAAAGCGATGTAACGTGGGTGTGAGTGCCTACGTGACCATTCAGCACTGTGGACACAGACATGAAGTGCAATGCCACGGTTACAAGCATGATTCTAACACACTGCGTTTGTAGTTACATGGCGTGGACACCACCACCAACACACCCTGTCCTCATCAGTTATTTGCTAGAGCTCTTTGCCAGTTCTGTGGCTTAAGAGGAATGTGAAGAATTTAGACAAAGTCTGGAAAAAGCCAGACACACAGGTGAATAAAGGGAAGGAAAAAGGAAACCCAGCAAGGGTTAGAGGGAATGAGATGATCTATTACAGGATAGGATTAACAGCACCTAGTCCTGTTCTCTGCATCAGAGGGGTGGTGTACACTTACAAGTAACTCGCCTAGGTCAAGCAAAATAAAAGGAATGAGTCTTCATTGCAACACAAGATACTTAGGTTAGAAATAAAAGAGAAAACTAACATCTATCTAACACCTACTGTATTAGGTGTTAAGATCTGAGAGAAAGAAATTCCCCCTTTACAAATCAGAAGACCGGGACTCTAAAAGGTCAGGTGATCTGGGTTTAATGAGGCTAAAGGCTGTGCTCTTTGAATTCATCAGTTTCCTAACTGCACATACTGATAAAGTAGGAGCTGATTATTCAGAGAGGTAATGTGATCTTTTTCCCTAGATCTTAAGAAGCAGACAGCTTCACATTCTCTCCCAGTCCTAAGTAGTCACAACACCTGGATCCTGAAACTAGCGCCACCACCTCCACCAAGCACCAAGCTGCACGTGGTTTCTCACGGAATGCTTCTGTTCTTTTTCTTACTCTATGATAAAATGCATATTCAGCTTTCTAAAACACAAGTCAGGGCAGGGCTACTGTCAATGGTAGAATGCTTGCCTTGTATGCCTGAGGCCCTGGGTTCTATCCTCAGCACCATCAAAAACAAAAACAATTTAAAGCACTTATCAAATTATAGAACACATTTAAAACTTAAAGTAATTCCACTCAGAACTCAGTGGTCAAACATCTTGGCCTTGAGTAGGCCTTGTTTTGAATGACTTTAGAACAAATGATTCTAAAGATATCAAGTAAAATGACCTTGCAACATATCTGTAGGGCTGTGCTTGCTGTGTTGAAAGAACCAAAAATTGTCTTCAGGGACAAGAAGGCCTGGCATGCCCCAAAACCCAAACGGTACATTAAGACAGCCTCTCAATTCCCCACACTGCCTATGACCCTAAGTTGTGGCAGGAGTATCCACCCATGTTAAAGAGCACTATCTCTTGACAGGGTCAGGAACTGACTCGCTTGGGCTGTGTGCCACTGACAGAGATACAGAAGTTAAAATGAAACTCACTGTAACTTTCACTCACCCCAGGAACATTTCTGGAATAGCACAAAGAAAGGGCAACAGAAAACATTTAGCCTAAGTGGGTTTTTATGAGAAAGCAAACAACTCACAGAAGGCTGCTGAAGGATCACTAGCTAAAATCTAGGCTGGATAGAGTCTGGCATGTTGTCTAAGAGCAACTGTCTCTGCAAAGTCAATCAAAGTCAGACTAATGGCCACTAAGGTGGCTCTCTCCAGGACCAAGGCTTCCAGCCCTGAGGTATGCTGAGCAGCAAATCAGTGGCATGGGTAACTGCTAACTTTGGGCAAGCTACTCTCTCCTCTGTGAGAATCAGCCTCCTCATCTAAAAATAAGAACCAAGAATGCCTCACCTAACCTCAGTGCCTTAGGGCACTGACAGAAATAAATCAGTGAGCACACATGGTGCCCTTAGAGCAGCGGCTAGTGCTGCACCAGGGCTTCTTCAATTATTCTCTTCCTCTCACCACCACCACCCTCCTGCAAACTAGCACTGTCCCAGCTGGATGATTACCTTACAGGTCAAGTGCAAAAGCTCTCTCTGACTCCAGGATTCTTGAAAAAGCTGTTTGGTTAAGTATCCAGTCCTGGTGAGGGGTATTATCATGGAGCACAAATGAAGCTGCTTCAACCAGTCCTTAAACTACAGAAGGCCTGGGGGTTTGCCTTATTTGAAGTGACAAGTTATATGCTACAATTTGAAGGACACTGGCAGAAGACATGGACTCTTGATTCTGAGACAAACACCTTTTTACTCACAGACATGGCCAGAGTATCTATCTTTGTGCAAAGTCAAACCTCAGTGCCACAAAGATGACATACATGCCATGGCTGTATCACAGCATGACAGCCCAAGCTTAGGGCCAAATCTCTTACAGTGGGCAGTCAGTGTGCCTGACCGATGCATTTATCCTGAAAGAACAGACAAGCCCACGCTTTGCTTTACCCCGTAAGGGTGTTCACTCTACACAAATCCCCCGAAATTCAGAAAGCCAGAAAGCAAGGAGGCCTAATCCTGTTCCTGAGATGTGGACACAGGAGAAAGCCCTGTACCCAGCAAGACATTAAGTAAATGTTGATGTGAACTCAGGCTCATGGAAAGTCTTGATATCGACAATATATCAATTCTCCCATAATTGAACTGTTGATTCAACACAATCTCAGCAAAAGTTCCAAAAGGATTTTTTTGGCAGAAAGTGACAAGCTTATTCTCAAATTCGCATGGAAAGGCAAAGGATTTAGAAACAGCTCTTATTTACTTTTATCTCTCTTCATATTCCTTTAGTAAGAACAAAGCTGGAGGGCTTATACCACCCGATTTAAGATTTATTAAAAGCTATCAAGATCTGTTATACTAAATGGTACTGGCACAATGATACAAAACTAGATCAAACGAACAGAAAAGAGTTCAAGACTAGCCCATCCTATGTATCCTCAGTTGATTCTCACCACAGCAAAGGCAATTCACTGGAGAGGGGTCTTCAAACCAACAGTGGTGGCGCAATAGACAGCCTTACACAAAAGACGCCTCTCACCACACATAACTATTAACTCAAAACAGGTCACGTACTTAAATGTCAAGTGTAAAACTACAAAACTATCAAAAGAAAATGTATTAGAAAACCTTTGAAACCTTGATTTGGGCAAAGATTTCTTTATCAGAAGCATGATTCATAGAGGAGAAAGAATGTAAACTGAACTCCTAAAATCTAGATCTTTTGCTCTTCAGAAGATGCTCTTACGAAAAAGAGAGCGCATGATTTTCCCACACACCTTAGAAAAGATTCATATAAGAGCTCTCATGCTCATTAACAGAAACAGAATAACAAAAGATATGACCAGACACTTCTTGAAACAGGGTATGCTGATGGCAAAGAAACATATGACAGGATGCTCCACACCAGTAGTAATAATGAAAACACAGTCCAATACTAACACATCCCTACTGGGATATCTAAAACCAAGCAGATGACCACAGTGAGTATGGTGGACATATGCAGCCTCTGGGATGCTGAAGGCTGCCTGTGGGAATGTGGAATGATACAGCCACTTTGAAAGACAGTGTTGTAGTTTCATTAAAACTAACATGCACCTACCACATGACCTAGCCACTGTGCTCCTAGGATTTACCCAAGAGAAATAAATATACATGTCCATGCAAAGAGCTGCCCAAGGATGCTCACGACACCTCTATCTATAGTGTCCCAAAGAGCTGGAGATAGCCCAGATGACCAACAAATAGCACGGTGACCCATGTTAGCAGATACTTTTTAGCAATGATAAGTAATGAGCTACTAATACACAAAACAACATGGCAAGAATCTCAAAATAATCGTGGTGAGTAAAAGAAGCTAAGCAAAAAGAATAGAAAAGCTATAGAGAATAAAAACTGAACAATGGTGTGTAAAGGAGGCAAGTGGCTCTCTGGAAAGTAAGCAGCAAAAGGGAGGAGGGGAGGATCAGTGAGGGTACAGAGCACGTGTTGGGAGTAATAGTTTATTCATTATCGTGATCAGGGTAATTATTTCATGGGTATTTATATCAAAACCTATTAACTATTCACTTTAAATATATGCAGTTTGTTGTGTGTCATCATACCTCTATAAAACTGTTAGAAAAAAATAAGTATTCCACTTACTGGAACTGAATCAAAAACAAAGAAAGATTAGGCTGGGGGTGTGACTCAAGGGTAGAGCACCTTCCCAACAAGCACAAGGCCCTGAGTTCAAGCCCCAGTACTGCCAAAAAAAATAGAGATTAATTTGAGTTATGAAATACAGAAAGTCTGTTTTTGCATAGCTGAACAAAATATATACCCACTAAACTGTTTAAAATTATGGTGAAACTGGAATAAAACTTTAGGTTAAGTTGGTGGTTAAGAGTGAAAGGAAAAAGGTTTGAGGTTTTTTTTTTCTGGTGGTCCTAGGGTTTGAACTCAGGGCCTTGCACTTGCCAGGCTGGTGCTCTACCACTTGAGCTGTGCACCAGCCTTTTGGCTTTAGTTATTTTTTGGACAGGGTCCAAAATATTTTTGTCCAGGCAAAATTACAAAATTGCCTCACAATGCAATCCTTCTGATCTCTGCCCCCCAAGTAGATGGGATTATAGATGTGTGCCACCATACCCAGCCCAGAAGGGGTTTATTTTAAACAACACATTGACAAACATCCACATGTGACTTCAGAGCAGCATTTCTGATTTCTTTTTGCCCAACTTCTTTAATGACAGGACTTCTCCTTCCATGTTTACAGAGAATGGGTAAATTGATGCAGTTTCTACATGATGACCTTATGTCATAGCTCACCAGCAAATCACAATACTTGAGAAAGAGAACTAGAAAGCACTTAGCATACCAGTGACTTTTCTAGAGTTTGCAGTCGCTTTTTACAGAGTAACACCTTGAGATCACAGCTCTTGATTTCTCACACTTCAGCACCTCTGCCCTCAGCAGAGGCACAGCACACAGCATACAAGGAGAGTACAGCTAACTACTCCTTACCACTCAAAAGCCACCACAGCAAGGGGATAAATCCCGGGCTCTCGCTGATGTATTTTAAGCCTTTTGTGTTGATGCTCACGTTGTACAGAGACATCAGCATTAACCTGAAATGAAAAAGAAAAATGGTGTTGACAAGTTGGTTTATCCACATTACATTTCACCCCAAACCCATCCCCTGCTCAAGAGGACTTGAATGTATTCAGAGGCTTCCTTACATCTCAGATGTCCAAGTACAACATCTGGAGAGGAAGTGCAGCAAGTCAATGCAGGTGAAGTGCATTCATCTACATGAGGCTACAGGACAGTGGGAAGCTTCGACAATGACATCACAATAGCACCGTGATGGGCTCAACACATCCAAACATGAAGGTAGACAGGGTCCCATGGGAAACCTCGAAAATGCTGCTTATTGACTCACCTCTTTTAGCACCACACCTGCATTTATGTACAGGCAATCCTCAGTTCACAAGTATATTGTGCTTAAGTTCAATGCAGCCATCAAAGACCTAAAACTATCTTTTCATTCAATGAATATGACACATTACATCAGGCAGCCAGGTCAGGCCATCAAGACTGCTTAACCTACTGCACGTGGGACATGATCTATCACACCCCATCACCCCAACAAGCAATAAAGCAGTCTCCTTAGCAACGCTGGAGACCATGGCCTTTGGTTTCTAAAACTGTTGCAGAATACAGAGACTTCAGATCCTTCACACTTCAGAGCAATTGAAAAAATGCTGAACAAAGGGCTAGGGTGTGGCTCAGTGGTACAGCACTTGCCCAGTATGCATAAGGCCCTGAGTTCAAGCCCCAGCACCACACACACACACACACACACACACACACAAAGTTAAAGCTGAGAAATATAAACCCTCAGATTCAGGGAGCACGCAAAAACAACTCAAAAAGACAAAGGTAAAGAGAGATCTGCATACCTCACAATCAAACCAGTGAGCACTGGAGACAGAAAAGTTTTACAAGCAGCCAGAGAAAAGACACTATCTACAAAGAAGCAATTCCGCAGAAAGCCAGACCCTCAATAACAAAGACAGGAGCCAGAAGGCAGGGAAAGTGTGCCTTCCAAGAGTTCACAGGGAAAAATGACAGCAAACTTTGAATTATAAACCCATCAAAAATATCCTTAGCAAACAAGGTAAAAATACTGTCAGAGAAACATCAGAGATTTTTATCATGAAGTACCCTGAACTAATAGAATTTGAAGTACAGATTCGGAAGCAAGGGAAGTAATCTCAAAAGAATGTTCTGAGATACAATGAGAAACCATGAGTAAAGGGGAGTGCAGTGCATGGATGCAAGCTTGGACATGGTCCACAAATGTGTGCAGTCCAGGATGTAAATGTTCAAGCACTCTAAGGTCTCTTCTCCTGAAAGAGAAAGGCATCAATTATTTTCACAATAGGCTTTAAAAGGGGGATAATCACTGAAATACAGAAACAGAGGTAAACATTCAAGACTCTAGAAGGAAAAAGATCAGAAGAGATCCTAGTGGATTCAAGAGGAAGAGAAAGGAAGGAAGGAGATATTAGAAAAAGAACTAAGAAAAACATAGTGAACAGAAAAGCCATGATAGAAGTAATAAAGCCAAGTATTTTAACTGTTCCAAGGATTAATGGGCAGTAAGTTCCTATTAAATGGCACAGAGACTGAAAAACAAAATTTAATCATGTACTGTTTTAAAGGAACACAATTAAAATGAAAGTTCAAGTTAAAAAAGGCACAAGCTGAGTGCCATATCTCACACCTATAATCCCAGATACTAGTGAGAAGGGTAAAGGGTAGAGATTGGGGGGATCAAGGTTCAAGGCCAGCCCAGGCTCAATTAATGAGCCAGGCAACCACCAGTGATGCCAGCTATTCAGAAGTGCATAGGAAGGTCACCGTCAGGAAATAAAAAATATTCAAGACTCTACCTAAAAAATAATTAAACCAAAAAAGGATTGTGGGTGTGGCCCAAGTGGTAGAGCCACTTGAAATGAAATGAAAAAAAAGAAAAGAAAGTGGAACAAGATATATCAAGCAAACAGTAACAGAAAAAAGAAGCGGCTGTGGTAGATACATTAACAGAACAGAGATTAAGGGAAAAGCATTCCAAAGCTAAGAGAGTAAACATGTAATGCTGAAAGGCTCAGTTCATCAAGAAGACACTCAAACTTGGACATGTCTAATGATGTGACAACAAAATACATAAAAACACAAATTAACACAACTTCACGGTGGCCAGTCCACAGTAAGGAGATTTAAAAGTAAGCCACAGTATTTGGTACGCTAAGCTAGCTCTCCATGCCATTAAGTTAGAAACCTTTTTTTTGTTTGTTTGTGTTAGTAGTCAGGCAAGTGGTCAGTGCTCTACCACTTGAGCCACATCCTCAGTCCTTTTTGCTTTTAGTTTGTTTTTCAGATAGGGTCAAGTGCTAACTTTACCCAGGCTGCCTGCAAATGGGATCTTCCTACCTCTGCCTCCCAAGAGCTAGAATTACAGGAATGTGCTAACATACTCCATTTAAAAATCCGTTTTAAAAAAAATATTCTAAAACTCCAACTAACATTTGGAAAATTAAGTCAAATTAAAAACTATAAGTGAAATTACGCAATATTTAGAATTGAACAGTAACGAATATCCTGCATAACATTTGTGAAGTGAGGCTCATGAGATATAGACACACAGACATAGACACACACACACACACATGCATGCACGCACAGAGCTTTAAATGATTATTTTAAAAGGCTAAAAGTTAACAACCTGAAGTAATGGCAGAGTAACTTGCACTGCATTAGCCTTCCCACTGATAATAACTATAAATTCTGGACACAATAAACCACTTAAGAGAACTGGAGAGCAACCAAAATATAGCGCCTGCCCCGACCCCCCACCCCGCAAGAAAAACGAATTGTTGAAGCTAAACAGGGCAACAGTGCCAAGATCTCAGAAAACAATGTCCAGCTGGAATTCTTCAGCTTTAAGGTGGTAAAAATGATTCACAGATTGACAAATGCCTTTAAATTTTCATATTTGGTCAAAATAAGTCATTCTTAAGAAGCTAAAATACAGCAGATGTAATTGCAGCAAATGTGGTGTCACCTAAGACCCCATGTCATTGCCAGGCTACATACACCTTGCATAAGAACACGGACCTCTAGGCCCCACAGGAGTTAGCAGAACACAAACCCAGAAGACTCTCTCTTCTGTGTGCAAATGTTTTCTCTGTATAACATTTCCATTCCAACCAAAAATATTTGTAAATGATGTGTCCAGGCAAAAGAGAATGTCATCCAACTCACTCTTGATAGGGAGATAGTAAAATGTTGTTTCTCACACTGGTGTACCAGACAATCAAGCTTTTTCTTCCAGAGACAAAAAAGTGGACAAACTCTGCTTCTCATAAACTGCAGCAGGAAGAGTTACAAATGGGGCTGATGGGTTCCTCTTGAGTAACTTCTCAGCCTCTATTGAGATGACATCTGACATTTACAATGAAAGCAAAGGTGAGTTTGGAAAGTCACCACACAACAAGAGTAACTGTCCTGCAGTAAAAAGGAAGCTCTCTCTCCCCAGTAGCCAAGGTCAGGCTGACCAGCAAGGTGAGTCACCAGAAGTAAAAGTGTCTCAACTCAACTTTCTCGTTCTTCAACCCTAAAAGCCATAACTTAAACCTAGAAGGAGCAAAGTGTAAACACTCCCAAGTACTTGAAAACAAACTAGCAAAGAGAATGAACAAGAAAAGGGAATTGCGTTGGCAGTGTGGCTCAAGTGGTAGAGTGCCTGCCTATATGCACGAAGCCCTGAGTTCAAATATTAATACTGTCCAAAAGGGACGGGGAGAGGTCTGTGATGTCCACTGCCCAGAAACAGAAACTAGAAAATGGTCATTCTAAACTGACTGAACCTAAAGCAGACAAATCAGCACCAGCAAGGAGTGCTAAGGCACATGACAAACTTTTCACAAGAGTGTAAATAATCTGAGATCAGCACAGCAACACAATCAATGATTCTTGACAGAAACCTGCAGTTGGAGGCCTGCCAATGTTTAATGAAGACTGCTTCATTAAACGTGCTTGTTTACTCTATACTACTGCCTCAGCCAAACCAGTGTCTCTACAGCTCCATGTTAACTCTCACGCACGCACACACGCACAAGCGAGAGACAGAGACAAAAGAGAGAGACGGTCGCACCAGCAAAGAAAGACACACCTCCCTGGTTGTATGTTGGCAGAAGGTGCTTTGAACACTAGTTTTTCTGAAAAGTATTTGTTATGGTCTGGACCTTAAATGTTCTCCAAAGGCCATGTGTTTAAGGCTTGGTTCCCCAGCTTGTGTCACTATCATAAGGTGGAACTTTTAGAATGTAGGGCCTAGTGAAAAGAAGTAAGGTTGTTACTGGCATGCCCTTGAAGTAGCTATGAGTACCCCATCCCTTCCTCTCTCCTTTTCTCTCTCCAGCCCAACAAAACAGAGCCAAGAAACTATGGACTGAAACCTCTCAAATAAATCTTTACTCATTTTAAGTTGATTGTCTTGGGTATTTTGTCACAGCAACAAAAAGCTGACCAACTCAGTGTTGAACAGGTTTCACTCTATCTAGTTTGGTCATTTTATAGACATTAAAACCATAAGCGAACCCCTTTTGTGAACTCCAACTGAACACGTATTTAAAAGGGAGCTAGTAACTACCACCTACACTAGATTATCTGAAATAGCCAAGCATTTCTCATACTTTAACTACATTATGTACAGAACTTTTCAGTTTTGCTCTGCATGTATATCTCAACAGAACACCGTAGGTAACCATCACGCCATGGTGAGATTTGTCTATGCTGAATGTACAGCTCTATCATTATTCTCACTCATGTGTCCCATTTCTTAATTGATCATTATTTATTTTTCATTCTCTAACCCATGGACAGTTGGGTAATTTCCTAGTTTTGCTATCAAAACACTGCTGCAAGAATGTTTTCTGTATGAGCATCCTGGTATTGCCACATAAAACTTTCTCTGCAGCACATCTATCTGCAGCAGTGCTCATCTGTACCCAGGCATGTGCACACACATGGTGCCCAACTGTCTCCATAAGCCTCTGCT